TTTTCTGCTTCACATACCCCTCAACAAAACGGGGTCGTGGAATGTAAAAATCGAATTTTGGAAGAGTTAGGAAGAACTATGATCAATGAAAGTGGGCTTCCTAAATATTTTTGGGCTTACACCAGTAGTACGGCTTGTTATTTTTTGAATAGGGTGTTCATCCGCCCTATTCTCAACAAGACTCCGTATGAACTTTTAAAAGAGCAGAAGCCAAATGTGTCTCACCTTCATGTATTTGGTTGTAAGTGTTTTGTGTTAAACAATGGAAAAAAGAGTCTAGGCAATTTTGACTCCAAGGCAGATGAAGGTATCTTTCTCGGATACTCTCAGTCAAGTAAAACTTATAGAATATACAATAAGAGATTACTTACAGTTGAAGAGTCTGTTCATGTCATATTTGATGAGTCTTATCCGAAAGTTGTCGGAAAAGGTAGTTTATTTCATGGTGCAGGTGTATCTTCTGAAGACATACTCAAAGATACTGAGACCGAAATTAATCAACCTGAACCAGTCAAAGTTGAGGAGGAAAAAGATCACCACCGTGAGGGTATTGAGGAAGTTCATTCGTCCAACACCGATGGTCTTCCTCCAGCATGAAAGTCTTCTAAAAACCATCCCATCAACAATATTCTCGGTGATATCTCAAAGGGAGTGACAATTCGATCAAAGCTAAGTAATTTCTGTTATCACTTCGCTTTCGTTTCTCAAGTAGAACCTAAAAACCCAAAAGAGTCATTACTCGATGAACATTGGTTCCTATCAGTTTAAAAGAAATGAGGTTTGAGACCTTGTCCCTCCTCCGTGAGACCATCGAGTAATTGTCACCTGATGGGTGTTTAGGAATAAACTAGACGAAAATGGAGTTATAACTCGCAATAAGGCGCGTTTGGTCGCGCAGGGGTATAACCAAGAGGAAGGAATTGGCTATGAGGAAACTTATGTGTCGGTTGCCCGACTGAGGCTATACGCCTTCTGCTTGTGTGAAAGATTTTAAACTATTTCAAATGGATGTAAAAAGTGCGTTCTTTAATGGATATATAAATGAAGAGGTTTATGTTTCCTAACCTCCCGGGTTTGAATCCCATGAGTATCCTGATCATGTATACAAATTAAAATGTGCTTTGTATGGACTCAAGCAAGCCCCTAGAGCTTGGTATGACCGTCTCAGCAAATTTCTTCTTGACCAAGGGTACTCAAGAGGAAAGGTTGACACAACCCTTTTCATTAAACGTTAGGGAAAACACTTAATTTTGGTACAAATATATGTCGATGATATCATTTTTGGATTAACTAACATGAATCTGGTAAGGGAGTTTTCTAGATTAATGCAGGGAGAATTCAAGATGAGCATGATATGGGAGCTTAACTATTTCCTCGAATTGCAAATCAATCAACTGAAAGAAGGTACATTTGTGAGTCAGACAAAATATTGCCTTGAGCGTCTCAAGCGTTTTGACATGGCAAACTCCAAGGCTATTGACACTCCAATGCCTACGTGTGCGAATCTTAATCGAGAAGAAAATGGTAAGGATGTAGAGGTGAAAAAGTATCGTAGTATGATTGGATCTCTTCTCTATCTTATTGCTTCTAGACCCAACACTATGTTTAGTGTCTGTATGTGTGCGAGGTATCAATCATGTCCCAAAGAATCTCACTTAAAAGTGATAAATCGCATACTTAGATACCTCTCTAGTACTCCAAAGTATGGGCTTTGGTATTCTAAGGGAAATGATTGCTCCTTGGTTGGCTTTTCTGATTCTGATTTTGATGGTTCCAAATCAGATAGGAAAAGCACGAGTGGAACGTGTCACTGTCCTCAAATTCTTTGGTGAGTTGGCATAGCAAAAAGCAGGTTTTCGTTGTTTTGTCAATAGCCAAAGCGGAATACGTTGCAGCCGGTAGTTGTTGCGCTCAAGTCTTATGGCTTAAACAACAATTGCTCGACTTTAACCTAAAACTTGATCGTATTCCGATTTTTTGTGATAACACTAGTGCCATTAACCTAACCAAGAATCCCGTTCTACATTCACGCACCAAGCATATCGAAATACGCCACCACTTCCTTAGCGATCATGTGGAGAAGGGCGACGTGGTATTTGAGCATGTTGATACTAAAAATCAACTTGCGGATATCTTTACAAAACCACTCGCTACAAAGCCTTTCTTTCACATCCGTAGGGAACTCGGTGTTCTCGACATCTCGAATCGTGTTTAGAAAGTCCCTTTCACATGCTATATATATATATATATATATATATATATATATATATATATATATATATATATATATATATATATATATATATATATATATATATATATATATATATATATATATATATATATATATATATATATATATATATATATATATATATATATATATATATATATATATATATATATATATATATATATATATATATATATATATATATATATATATATATATATATATATATATATATATATATATATATATATATATATATATATATATATATATATATATATATATATATATATATATAAAAAGTCTAACAAATGAAGAAGTATAGAGCCATATGTGAAGGCATTAGCTATCAATTGGCGTTGAGGTACTATCTTTCCGTATTTAGAAACTCTCGTACTTACCTCGTTCGTATAGAATAATGTCTCAAATTGTGTGCTATTGTTGATGTTTATTCCATGATTACGCGTATTTCATCCTATCGCACCTCGAAAAATCACGGAAACATGTCGGAGAAACGACCCTCGCGCGAAAGGCGCAGAAATGCGATTCGACAGAGTCGCCACCGAACTTTATTTATATCGAATAAAAGGGAGAGGAAAATATTGAATAAACCTCTTAAAACGAAAGGATAGGAACAGGGCTGTCGCAACCATGTTCCGGGTTTGGGAGTTGGTTACGCAAGGAGAAGGTATTAGCACCCCTCACGTCCATTGTACTCAACGGGAACCTCTTAAGGTATTTTGCGATGGACGTTATCTAAGATTACTTGTTTTTCTTCTCGATGTTAAAGGCGAATTGGTAGGATAAAAGGTTAAATATGCTAAAGGGAAAATGGGTGGTTATAGGATAGGGTGCTCGCCAAGGATTGGGGCCCTTGTGCTTACATATGCTCATTCGGACGAGAATGAGAAATCAAAGCATCGTAGTTTGACTACGGGAAATATTAGGGGGGAAATAGAAGATGGATAGAATAAAGGAGGAAGATAGAAGTGTGGAATAACGGAGGAAAAGGGAAATGTGCTTGCCAAAATCATTGCAATCTTGTGCCTATGTATCTTATATTTAAGAATGAATAAAGAATCAGAGCGTCCGTAGTTCGTGGTAACAACCATGAAAAGACGAGGTTCGAATTGGTTTGAAGTTGAGTTGGGACACGAAAGAATGACTGACAAGCAACCCAAGGGCATGCCTCAAGAGCTTGTCACTCAAGAATTCAAGGAATGAGCGATTCCAAGAACTCAATCCTTTCGGAAATCGGGTTGAATAGGTTGAAGATAAAGGGTTAGATGTTTGAAATCGAAAGAATGAACTAATAACAACTCAAGGGCGTGCCTCGAGAGTTACTCATTCGAAGATTCAAGGAATGCTAGATTCTAAGAATCCCCATCTTTCGTAAATGGTTTAAGAAAACGTTTGTAAATAGGATCGAATCGAAAATGGTGCGAGAAAGGGTGAAAGGCGAGGAAAGAGGGAGTTGGTTTAAAAATGGCTCGACGGTGAGTCAAGGATTTGTTTGAAAATGGAACCGACTTGACGATGTGTCAAGGGTTAAGTTGTGAGAAACGATGTTAGTCCCTAAGGGTGCTCCTAATATTGGAACCACGAGGAAATGTGAATGTGTGTGCAAAATGTCGGTTGCGAATGCGTACGAGCACTCGGCTTATGAGGGCGTTTGAAAATGGTTTAGTTTGAAAATTCGAAAGATTGAATGAATAACAACCCAAGGGTGTGCCTTAAGAGCTACTCACTCGAAGATCCAAGGAATGCTAAATTCCAAGAACCTCCTTCTTTCGAAGTTTGAATCGAGAAAATGTTTTGAAATAATTTGATTCGAAATGAGGATATGAAAAAAGTTTGTGCGTGTGGGAGAGAAAACGAGTTTGGATTTGAAAATTACTTTAGGAAAAATGATGATTATTTGATAAATGAGACGTAGGCCTCACAACCAAATAATCGGGGTATTATTTGGATGCTAGATCCTAACGACCCCTTTTTCATTTGAAACAAAGTTTGAATGAACAACGGAAATATCACACGAAATGCTAGACTTTGATGGGCCTCCAATGGGCCTTCCTTCCCCTAAAAAAATTGATTCTCTTTTTTTAAAAATCTTTTCTCTTCATATATTATCTTTTCTTAGTTAATTCTAAATCCTAACCAATCAATAATAAAACAAATAACTATTAATATAAACTAATATTAACATAACTAATTAATACATAAATATTAATAAATATAAATAATAACTATTAACATTTACAAAAACAAAATTAATTACTATTATCATTATTATAAACCAATATACTTAATATATAAACTAAGATATTATTATTATTTAAAATTTTAGAAAAGGAAAAAAATTATGAAAACAAAATAGAATTAAAATTCTCAAAAAACAACTTAAGGCCACGTGCCACATCTTATTGGACAAAAACGGATAAATTTTGGAAAACGCCCAATTACGGGTGGACACGTGTCTAAATGACGTGAAATTATACGGGCAATGCAGAATTGAAAATAGAATCAAAAAATGCGAAAATATTTAAAAATGGGTAGGACAAATTTAGGGTATGACACATCCCTTTGCATGTTTGAAATATGGATAGGCTGCTTATTTATGTCTCTTTTATGCTTGTTGAACAAAATTAATGATTTTTGTTATTTTTAACTGTATGAGTCGACCTACATGGCAGGGACGGAGCCAAACATTTTGAGTAGTGGGGTCAATATAAATATAATATTTCATTTTCAAAAATATAAATATAAATTATAATTGTTCTCTACAATTTTTCATGTTTTGAAAATGTTGAATGATTTTCTCATTTTCAACATCAACAAAAATATCTCTCTCAATATAAGTAACTAAACAATCATTTAACCAATCATCACCCATGCGATTTCACATTCGATTCTTGATAATATTCATAAAAGAGAAAGCTCTTTCAGCTGTTGTAGTTGCCACTAGTAATATCAGAGATAACTTTAAAAGCAAATAAACCAACAGGTACATAACATGTTTTTTGGTCTCTACGAGCTTGATAGAAAGATCACCAATCCCCTCTAATTCTGAAAATTCAGTGTCAGAGCATACATCTAAGAAATAGTTATCAAGCTGACAATCTAGTGCCAATAATTCCACTTGAGAAAACTTTGAAGGATAAAATTGAGCTAAACGGATCAACCTTTCCTTATCAAATGCAGAAAATGAATCTCTTGGACTTAAACAAGCTACACAAAGGAGCAACTCTGTATTGACTTCTGTAAAACGGTTATTCAGCTCTTGAAGTTATCGACCAATCACTTCATAAAACAATTCAACTTGAAAATGATGTAAATTAGATACTTACTCCATTTTTCTCTATGACTTTTTTTGTGTCGGTTGAAAAGTGTCATCCATATCTAGAATATCAATATCATTATGCTCCCAAAATAATGAAACATCATTCAACAAAGAATTCCAACCATTATCTCTTATAGTTTGTAGCCTTATTTTAGACACTTTTACTAACTTCATAACATTTACGATATCTTGATCATTTCTTTGTAATGCTTGAGATAAATCATGTTAATTCCTAAAACTATTTTCATCAAGTGCAAGATGAAAATAAATTCAAAAGATTGCATATAATTCATCAGCATTAGTGTTTCACCTTTTTTATCTAAATCTGTTCCATCTTCCTCAACCATTTCTAACACATCAATCATAAAAGAGAATAAAGAAACTATACTAAGCAATGTACCATAATGTGAGCTCCATCTTGTTTCTCTCACCTTCTTAATTGTCATTTCTTGATTCAAGCCATGCCCACTGGAGATTTCTCCATGTTCCAATGCTTCTTTCACCTTTGTAGCTTAACTTTCACGAAGAATATCTCGGCGCTTACATGATGCTCCAACAACATTATACAAATTAGCAACTAAATTGAAAAATAAAACAATTTTAGAATGTTTTTTTGCTAATGTCACAAGAGCTAATTGGAGATGATGGGCAAAAAAATGAATAAAAAATGCAGAACAATTCTCTTTTGAAATCAAGCTTTTTAGACCACTGTATTCACCTTGCATATTACTTGCTCCATCATAGCCTTGTCCATGTATCATTGACAAACTTAATCCATATTTTGCAAATAATGACTCCTGTTGTGAATCGAATACCTTTAAACAAAGTATAAATAGTTTCTTAATAATTAAGAAACACACAAGGGTTAGGGTTAATAAAGAAGACAAGGTAAAACAACAAAGAACAACAAGGATTGGTTATTAAACTGCTATTCTTTCCTTTCTCTTAGAACAAGATTACAAGTATACAAGAATAACAAAATAACCTCTCTTCCTTGAAATTAGGATTTTATCTTCCTATTTTTCCTTATTCCAAGATTGAGAAACTAGCATCCTATTTATAACAAAATAGCACATGCTAACAACCCTAGCAATATTTACTCATGCTAACAACCTTAGCAATATTTACTCATGCTAACAACCTTAGCAATATTTACTCATGCTAACAACCTTAGCAATATTTACTCATGCATGTTAGAACAAACTTCGACTACAACACGCATTACTTGCGAACAGACTTCGACCACACTAGAGTTCGATCCAATGTCTCACAACTCCAAAGCCGATTTCAATGTTAGAGAACTAGTATTTGAAACATGAACAACACCAAGAAAACACTCAATAACTTTTCCTTCATTATTTACATAATGTATAACCATGACCATTTCCTCATTCACTGAGATATCACAAAATTCATCAATTAGAATAGCAAATAAATAATCTCCAAGATCATCCAGTATAACTTGAGTAGTGACTGTTGCAGCAGCTTTAACAATATCCTTTTGAATATTAGGAGATGTTAATTTAAGATTTCCACGACAACTTTTCCAAACTTTATAAATATCTTCATTGTGGTTAACAAGAAAATTCATAAGTTCAAGAAAATTCCCCTTACTTCTAGACGAAATTGACTCATCATTACCATGAAAAGTTAAACCTTGTGCTAATAAATATCGAATGCAATCAATTATAGATTTCAAATGAATTTGATAGTCCTCTTTAACTTGATTGGATTGTTTACACAAGACACCTTCAATGTGTTGCTTTTGTTTCATCAGAGCTTGACAATTTCTCCATGCTTGATTGTGAGAGCTATTTACGTCTCTAAGATGAACTCGAAACCTTTCACTTTTTTTCCAATTTGTAAAGTCTTCTGTTATAAAGGCATCACCATAACCTTTATGTTCTTCAATGTGTAACCTCATAAGATAACAACATAAATAATATGCAGCATCCTCACTTTGACTATATTCCAACCAACTACCATATTTTAAGTACCAATCCAAATTAAACTTGCGAAAGGTATATCCAAATTTTCTTTGTGGAAAAATAATTTCTTTTGGTTGACAAGGACCCTTTTGTAAATAGTATCTTCAAATTTCATCACTATCACTTGGATGGTAATCTGACAGTTTTGGCCTTAAACTAGGATCATTAGGAAGTTTTTCCAATTCAAGCTCTAAAAATATTTTTTCATGGGAGGACTCAGTCCGATTCGACCTTCATTAGGTGTTTGAGGATTAGAAGTTGATGATTGCTCTGTTGATTTTCTTTTAAAATATTTTTCCATTGCTTATTACTAAAAACAAAACAAAACAAAAAACTCACAATTGAAATCCTATTTAAAAAATTCACAATAATACTATAAAACTTATACAAACATAACAAATTCAAACAAATACTACAAAACTCTAAAAATAAATTTTCTATAATTAACATAATCTCATGTTCAATAATGTAATAATATATTTTTACTCTTATTATAATAATCAAAATAAATTATAAATTTATTTAGATTAAAATTTAAAAAAGAACTTTTAAAAGATCAACAATGGAGGGAGAAGAAGCTAGTAATAGAGAGAGACTCTTCCCAGTAAGAGAAAGAGGAGTGAGAGAAAGAGGAATACCAAAAGTGATTTATTTGTATTTGCAAAGAGTCAAAGAGAATTATGAATAATAAGAATAGGAATATGAAAAGTTAGGTTTTTTTAAATTTTATTTAAAACATTTATTTTATTTATTATATAAAACTAATTATTTTTTAAAGAAAAAATAAAATAATTAATTAGATATTTAAATGAGTGTGGTAGTCAGTATATTTTTTAAGTGGGGGCATTAATTAGTTTTCCTTCATAATTTTTAATACATTAAATAGGTTAATATATTCTATATAATATTAAATTATGATTCAAGGATTAATATAGTGGGGGTATGGGCCCACCCTTTCCTCTTACTAACTCCGTCCCTGTACATGGGGTTCCGGTCGACTCATAAAACTATAATTTTTCATGTTTGTAAAGCGGGTCTGCTCAGGTTGATGCAAACCCTAAGAATTTCTCAGTACATGTTTTAACACAGTATGCGTCGACGCATGACCTCTTCTGGTCGACGCGTTGTGCGATGATTCTGATAATTTGTTGATGAACTATTCAAATTCTTTCATCTTTTAATGCATTTAATCTCATGTTGTGTATTCAAACTACATCATCATTAGTATTTGCATTGATCATTGCACATATTCAAGGCTATCTCTCTACCTCTCCTATTCCCAAAGCTCTCTTCAAAACCTAGTTTCTCCATAAAAAGGGTAAAGCTACTTTCTCCTTTCTATCTCCAAAAGTAAAATTCTGCATCTACAAATTCTTCATCTCCACACAGAAAATCAAAATGTCTACAAGAAGAACCATTGAAAAGAGAACCACCAGAGCACCATCTACTCAAGTCGGTCCATCAAGAGCAACTTTAGCAGTAAATGTTGTCTCTTTATTACCTCCTGAATATTCAGAAATTTATGAGAAGAAATTTAGCAAACGATCTATAGTCAAACAACATGTTTACTATAGAAAGGTTGCTGAGAGAATGCATATTCCAAAGGTAATTGATCTTTTGGATGTGCAGGATTTTAACAATTTTTTGGAGTGTGACATCAAATACAATGAAGATTTAGTGAGAGTCTTCTACAAAGGTATTCAGGGTAAATTTCAAGGGTTTGAGTTTACTACAAAGTTGGGAAATACCAAGGTTTGTGTAAATGACTTGGTATGGAAAAACTTGTTTGATATGTCACTTGTGTCCGCTAAGCCAATCATTAAGGCCACAGATGCTCGTACTGTGGCAGGTTATGACTTCAAAGAAGCCTTAAACTCCATGTTGAAGAAACCCTATGGTGACGACATCGTAGCAAGCGACCTCTTTCGGAAAACGGTCACGACGGGCAAACTAAAACCGGTTGATAGAATCCTATAATGGATTGTGTCGCACATTATGCGTCCAAAGAAAGGCGGCTACTCACGAGTGGTTCGAGCCGAGGTACACTTGGTTTATATACTTAAGAAAAAGATCAAGATCAGTTGACCTCATTACATTGCTAGTCGAATCTATTTGCTAAAGGATTCCGGTAGAGGAACAACTCTGTCATACAGGTCCTTTATCCAATTAATTCTCAACAATGCCAACATCACTGTTCAAGGTATTCCCTACACATCCTTGAACTCTAATCAAGAGTTCTGTCAAAATACTCTTACTATGATGGGCTATATATGGGATCCAAGAGAAATTCATTATCGATTCATTGTTAAGGCTACTACCTCTCGGTTGGAAGAATCTGATGAAAGTGATGATCACATAGAGGAAGTAGAAGAAGAAGAAGAAGAAGAAGTAGTAGGTGCACATCCTATGGAAACTGATGATCGATATGACAGTGGGTGGCTAAACCAATCACCCCATTGGTGCATGATGATGACCAAGGGTGGGGTGCCTGGCAATACACTGGCTGGACATCATTAGGTGCCAATTACGTGCCACAAGCATCAAATTGGGATCATCAAGACACCC